TTCGGCTTTGTCGCAAACCTTGCACCCTAGACCCTTCAACCCCAACCCCCAGACCCATCTGAAGTGCGGAGCTTTTAAATTCCAGTGGTTAGGGGTCAACAAAATGATGTGGGTGTTGTCATGATGACTGTTGTGGGTTACTGTATATTCTCAGTAGCCGGATAAGTGACCTAGAAACGCATGTAACCCCGAATTGAAGGATATTGAAAGGTTGACTTTCACGGGCCGGTGAACTCGAGAACTGGAGGGTTCTGCACTGGCCGATCAAGCGAATGCAGGTTCTGTGCTTAATGGATCTGTATAGCTCGCAACAACTCTTGGACTCAGCAGACACCGACGTTGAGGAAGCCCTCGTGCCCTAAACTCTGTCCCCCACTACTCTGAAGCCGAAACCCTAGCAACGAAGCCTCGAACTCAAAACTTTTGTAACCCTGTGAACCTTCGGGATCTGGGTAAGGACGAACGTCACTCTCAATGACACCTTGGCTTCTTGCAATGTCGGGCCCTCGGTACTGTCTGCCTCAAGGCTGGGGCTCCGAGGGCTCGGAGAAGTGGCAGAAAGAGGACCCAAAAGATGGCGAAAAAAGACCCTCCCTTGAAAGGGAAGGGCAGTGTAGTTCTCTCGAGCTGTAGCAACTGTAGCGGTAGCTGTGCGCCGAGGCCGGGATGGAGATCGAAATGTGCTCTTTGGCTATCAACTGCAACCGGAGGCGCCTTTTTTCCCCAAACGGTGTGCTACACACCCTGCGTTTCTATGAAGAGGATCGGCTAGTAACTCCAAGGCGCTAGACCTGCAACTCTCTGAACTCTGCTTCGAAAGCCCTTCGAGGATTTTTCGGATGTCCTTGAGGGGTTTAGGGTTTTGGCATGGGCTTCTTGAGGGCAATAGGTCCCAGCTGGGGGCTGGATCGATTCTAGAGGCCATCAGTCGGTGCTTGCAAGGTTTGGTCGTAGGGCTCTGTACCAGGTACAATGCTGGAACGGTTCACGGCAGGGCTTCTCCCATGCAAAAATCGCCGCCTCACCTGAGCCCCGAAACGCAGCGTCATAGACCCGCGCGATCGCAGTTTAGAGGCATCCTTGGAGGAACAGCGGGCTTCAGAACAACTGGTAATACTGTCTGCTTATTGTTCCGATATAGCTATACGGTTTTATGCCTCTTGTACTCATGCAGGCGACTATGTTTAACTGGCGCGGTGAATCACGACTGGGTTGCTATACATTTTGTCTGCTGCTAGGCCCAAACCCAAGACCGCATAGCCCAGCCTGAAACTGAAACCTTGCAACCCAAAGACTGCTTTCATCTCTGCCCCTCAACTCCGAAAAAAAAAAACGCACACAGCCCTATATACACCCTTATAAAGCCCTTAAACTTGCTGAGGTCTGTACAAGGTAGACTGCTGCTTCGGGATGGAGCTCTTCCTTCTCAATGTAAGCGTGACCTCGCTCGGTTTGGCAGGGCTCTTTGAGAATTATAAGACTTACTATAGGAGAAGGGCTTAAGGTTTAAGGTAAGGAATATTCGGTATGAAAAAGGCTGTTCAGCATGGCTCTGTTGGGTTTCGCCTGCTGGGATTTAGGGTAGGGCCTGCAGGGTTAAGGGTCTTAATGTAAGGGCCTAAATAATGACCTATACTATTTTGGGGGCTCCTTATTATATTTATAGTAGAATGGGCCCCGAAACCCTCTTCAAATTAGTAAGGTCTATGGGCTTGGGGGTTTCGGGTTGAGGACTGTTCCGACGTTTAGGGTTGGGTTGAGGGTTTAGGGTTTAGGGTTTGGCAATTTGGGTGTGTAAAGGTGCGGTGCTGGGAGGTTGGCTGAAACTACTTTGACCATTCTCTAGGGTTCCTACGGCCAAGGTGGGCTTCAGGGTACCCCAAGCCCAAGCCCTACAAGGTCTCGGAAAACCCCAAACCCAAAACCCAAAGAATCCCGAAGCGGGGGGCAAGGTAGGATAAGCTGCGACCCGACTTCGCGGAACTTTTCGCAAGCTTTCGGAGCGAAGAAGAGTGTTCACAGTTTGTTGTTTGGTTCTTTATGGGGGGTGTAGATCCTAGGTACAATTAGGGAGACCCCTTAAAGGGGACACTTCTTAACCCTACTTGTGGCTCTCTTAAAAAGGACCTTATTGAGAGGGCCTACATCCCCAAGGGTCTCCTTAATCCTAACCCCCAGCAATATAGAAGCCCAAAAATTACCAGTGCTATTTTTTTGGGTGGTTCCTCAATATAATTAGAGTATTGTGGCCCCAAAACCTTATTCCAAGTAGTATACTATAAGGAGTACTGTAGGGATTACATGGTTTTTCCAGCGAGGTTTCGGGTTCAGGTTGTCCTGGAATGTTTATGCTTAAAAAGCTTTGATCAGGAACCCTAAACCCGTAAATCCATATAGAACCTGCATGGAACCCCTTGAAATCTGTAAGCCCTAGCTCCTCAATACCCAAGCCTAAATTCTGCAAACGAAGGAACCCAACTCCAAACCCACGAGCGGTAGCAAGGCCCCGGTAGTACATTATGGCTGTTGAGTTTTTCCAGAACACCCTTAGCTGCGTTATTCTTTACACCACCCGAAACCTTAGACCCCCACATCAGACGGACATCAAAGGAGGTACTTTCGATTACAGCCCTGATAGGTTTGACTAGGGTTACAGTTTCGGGCTAAATGCTTTGGGGATTCCCAGAATTAAGGCTGGCAACCAGGCATTGCCGTGTCGCAGTCAGCGATGAGCTCTAACAGCCAAGCCAGAAATTCCGTTTGCTGATCCCGAAGCATGGTACCTGAGCAGGTACAAGTAACCTTCAACCCCTCAAACTTTGTGCTTCTGTAGTTCCACCTCGATTCACCAGTACTGCTTAGGGGCCAGTGGAGAAAGCAACTGTGGAGCTTGTTTGAAGCTTGAGCTCAAGGATGTTGTTTTCGTTTGTCTCGGTACAGGCAGACCTCTACCAGTACTACATGTCGGGAAGCTCTGCTTGAAGTCTCTGGGGTGCTTTCTGCGTAGGGCTTAGCAGTGCACCAGCACTTGTCCAGCAACAGCAGCAGGAGCAAAGGGATCGAATATCTGCCAACAACCTGAACACCATATAAGATTTGGCACACCCACCCCTAAGCCCACACAACTTAGACGAAGTCTTGACATCTAGACACAGCGCACTCGTAGTGTTCCCTGAGATCTCGGCATTTGAGCAGATGGCTGCCCCAATAGCCACCAGAGACTATGTACACAGCTTAGCTACAACCGTTGATGCTGCGCAAATCTCCTTCTACAGCCAAATCCAACCGTGTCCTAACCCGACGTTTGATGATGCCAGAAGACTGCTACTGGTAACTGCGTCGGCATCGGAGTCGAAAAGTGTTCTCACTTGGTGCAGGCGTTGCTCAGGAGGTGGGCTGGCACGTAGACCGGCGATGCTGCCGATGATGCTGACAAAGCTCATGCTGGCGTTGCAACGGCGTTCTTACCCAAACGTCAAAGCATATGCCCGTCTTGCGTGCTGTCAGCCATGAGGTAGCCCCTTCAGCCCCAAACGTAGCTTTGCTTAGGGCTCGTGAGCAAGCTTGGCCCTAGGGCAGGGGTGCTGTGAAAGCCACAACACTTGCTAGCCGCAAGCCCCAAACCCCAGATGACAACGTTTAAAAGTCTTGAATGTGCCTCAAACAGCCGTAAGCGCTAACACTTCAAAGTCCGTTTTAAACCTCAGCTTCAAACGCTCAGGAGGTCTCGCCATGTGCCCCCTCGTGGACCCGTCCTATGTTGCCTATTGCGCGCACGTGACTCGGGACGAGTTTAGGTGTTCGGGCTCTTGGCTTGGCCGTGCTTACAGTACTCCTAGAGTTGTTAAGTGTACCACGATGGTTATTGTCATTGTTGACAACTGGAAGCACTTGAAGCCCGCCGTCAACGCTCTCTTCAGGCCTGAGGTTCTTGACGCTTCGGGTTTCAGAGAATCCAACTCAATACAAATAATACAAATACCCGCTGGCAAAGGTATCCGAATGAGGGCTCCCGCATGCACTGGTGAAAAGTCGGAGTCGAAGTTGGGGCAGTCTTGCGCCGGGATGTTTCGGGTCACCATGGGTCATCAGAGCTTCGGGTGTGGGGGACTTGTAGAAAAAAGCAAGTCCTTGCAGTGTTCCTTTCCCCGTCTACCCCAAGCCTACACCCTGAAGCCAGATTTAACCGTGCCGCTTGTCCCTCAACCTCGTGATATATCCCTTGTCCTTCGAACTCCGCTGTACTCCTGTGCCAACCCTGGCATGGGAGTTCCACATGTGTTTCTCATTCTCTCGCTTACCCATGGGCTCGTGAGACTGGGTATGGGCTTTGGGAGATGCACCCTAAGTTTATTTTTTTAAAGATGGACCCTTGCACAAACCTGCACTCAACTGTTTATGGGGCCCTGTGGCATGACGCTGTGCAGGTGAGCACCTCGACAACATCTCCAAAGGCTGGCACTGCCATGGGGTCCTGGAATTTGCTTGAGCAGATTAGGGCCCTGTGCCTGCTCCTAGGCAAAGCCCGAATCTTTGGATGCCCAAATCCAAGCGAGTTCCAGAAGTTGTTATGTGGCCCCCGAGCCCAAGAGCCTGTCACAGCTTTCCACTCTTGGAGTGCGGAGCATCAGGCCACATAAACATACGGATCCTGCAACCCCAATATGGGATACTCGTGTGTATCTGGTCTTTCGGGCGGTTGTGGTTTCGTTTCGGGTTGGCCTATTGCATAGCTACCATTACTTCTCGCAGCAGCAGCAGCAGCAGCAGCAGCAGCAGCAGCAGCAACAGCAGCAGCAGCAGCAGCAGCAGCAGCAGCAGCAGCAGCAGCAGCAGCAGCAGCAGCAGCAGCAGCAGCAGCAGCAATGGCTAGTCTTGGAGCTGAGGCTTCATCCATCCCAAGACCAATGGCTGGAAGCAAGGTCAAGGTCCCTCAAATCAAACGCGTGATGAGTCTTGAACCCTACAACCCGAAGCAGACGGTAACTCAAGCCTCCGGAATGCCTCTCGAATCCAAAGCTTCTGTGCAGTATGACGGCTACGACGACGAGGTGCCTGCAGGATGACTGTGGGTTTCAAGAGTAGGGCTCAGGTTCAGGGTTCAGGGCGTAGGGGGCGCAGCGCCGTGGGTTTCCCTTCTAGCCTCAAGCAATTTCAAATCGAGTTTCCGTTTTTTTGCAGGACCCGACGGAGCTCTAGCTCAGAGCAGCCCCCGCGTTTGATGGTACAAATTCATCCAGAAATCCGCAAACGAAGGCCCTAGCATGGAAACCCGATCTAAAGAACTGAATGTTATCCTTTTTTCGTCTCTATACCTATAATATATTATACTCGCCGTAGGATATACCATGATATAGCCCAACCTCTTGAGAATTACCAAGTCCCCTGCATGGAACGCTTGTGGTATCAGGGCCCTTTTTCTTAAGCCACGCAGGTTGTCCTGGCTCCGGGCCTTAGCCTCGGCAACTTTTCATCGATGGAATGCCCAGCGAATCACATGCGCGTCGCTCGGCTTTAGGCTTTCAGCCTTCTTCAGGATTTTGTCGTTCGTCCTTTCCAGCGGTCCGGCTTCTTCAAAATCAGGGGTTCCTTTTAAGGCTCGTTAAAAGGAGGATCGGGCTCGTTTGCGGAGAGCGCCAAGCAAGCCCACGAGTATAGTAGAACATAATAGAAATCGAAGATAATGTAATGTAACATAGAAATGTATGTATGTATGTATGTATGTATGTATGTATGTATGTATGTATGTATGTATAAGCATCTCGGCTCCGTGGAGTGGAGCGAACTTCTGATGTGCCAGAGCAACTTCGACTGGCTCTTCGGCTGGGTCTGGGCTCTGGTGCTTCGGGACATTTCCTGCAAGGGCTGTTTGATCGGGGCTGCCTCTGGCTTTGTTTGGATTCAGCGCTGGCACATCCGTATGTACCCCGCAGAGCCATGGACACGGAGTCGATGGTTCCGCACGGAGACAACAAGCTTCCCAAGTACCCTTCATACCGCCTGCTTCGGGATACTCTTTACAATCTTGTGGAGTACAACGTACTGGGGCTCCTCACCCGTCAGTGGACAGATGTACCAGTCACGGATCTTCGCTGCAGACAGGGCAGACTTCGACGGAGGTGGGAAGACTTTGGTGCTTTTGGGGTTTGGTTTGATGGTTGGCTGCTGCTTTCGGACCCAGGCCGGCTTCAAATTGTGGCAGCCACGTACGAAAGAGATGTCGACTTTGGGCATGCCATGTTCCAAGCTGCCTGCCGTTTTCAACGGCCGGACCTCGAGACCTTGGACTAGCCTCCCGATGGCGGTGCGCCGCAGTTTGAGAGGGGCCTACAAGCTGACACGAGCCAGTGCCGGGCCCGCTGTGCACTCGACTCTTCTGCAGGCGCTACGCTTCTTCATCATGCCAGGGGTCATGCTGTGCGGGCTTCTTGGAGGAACGGTGTATCTGCTTGGCATTGCGACCTTGCAGGCGCTTGATGGAGGCTCCTGCCACATCTCTCCTCCTACGATTACTGCCCAGTGCCCTCAGCATGTTCCTGCTGTATCTACCCTCCTGCCAGTCTGCAATACACTCTTGGCATATCTGGTGCACTCAGTAGCCGCATGTAATGCACGACTCGGAGCGCTTACCCATACATGTCTGCTGACGGCACAGCGGGCTCAAAGGCAGTGCCCGGCGGCCAGGACCACCTGGGACTTCCTGGCGATGGCCGAGGACTCTCCCGTCGAGGACAACCTTGTCTCGGACGGTTCCACGGCATCGGCTCACCCGAACTCGCCCCCACGTGGACCTCCGCCACCCCAGCCCATCCAGGTCATCGGCGAGGCCTCGCTCAGCATCTCGGTGGCGGTCGGTTCGACGATCCAGTTTCTGGGCGGTGGCCTTCGTGAAATTCTCACACATCTGCCCTCCGACTGGCGTACACAGGAAGGCATGGTTGTGGAACTACGCTCCCTTCTACCGTCAGACCGGTTCCACCCACACATGATGTGGATTGGAGAGGGTACACCGCAAAGTGCGCTGTACCCGGCTGGAGGACCGAGTACTACCCCCATGCCTGGTGCCGCTTTGGCGACAGAGGAGCGCGAGGACCCGACTGGGGAGGCCAGGGCCACAGACGAGGAGATGACCGATGCGGTACAGGCGCTGGAGGCCGACGGCTCCCTGGATGAGCTCCTCATGGACATTCCGCGGGGAGTGGAAGTGGAGATGGCCAGAGCATCCTCGGGCAGCAGCGGATCGGGCAGGGCGAGCACGTGGCACGGCTCTAGCGCCCCTCCGCCACCAACGCCGGCGACTACGACGGGGACACGAGAGACCAATGCGTCGACCAAGCCGAGGGCGAAGCCGAGGACGACCCAGAATCGAAAGCACGCCACCTACGGAGGGTGCATGCAACATGCTAGGAAGAAGCTTTTCGCTGTCATGCGGTGTGTAGGACAGGACGGCAGTCAGACAGGAGCAGACATGTGCCTAGGCGCGGCCGGGACAGCTGATTCTGAGAGCACCTGTCTGTATGGACAGGGCGTATCCTTCTCACTCAGAGGAGCGGAGCCTCCGCCGCCACAGGGCACAGAGCGCACAGACTACGATATGACCCGGGCACCTGCGTGGAAAATGAGGGGATCCTTTGTCATAAGGTTCGTGTTCATGCTCATGCTCTGGCGCGTGTTCCTTGTGCTCTCACCCTTCTACCAGTCATTGCCTATGACGGGGCTGGCCAGGTACGGTTTGCCCTCGTCCTCGACAATGCGGCCGGTGGCCGTGTCTTCCTTTCTGTCATTGCTGACTTTCCGCATGGCATGTTCAAACAGCTACCTTCGCAGGTCCGGGTCGCCCCATTCCGGTGACCTTCCAGATCGACCTTCTGAACACCGACAGGTTAGCCCAGGTGCCGTTCGCACCCGTTGCCTTTCCCAGCAACTGGTTCCTACATCGCATACGTAGTCCTGAACAAGTTCGCGACACTCCACATGGATGCTGCCTGGGTCCCAAGTCCCGGGGTTGTAGCAGTTATCCGTTCAGATGCAAGATGACTGTGGTTTTGCTGTTGACGCAAATCCTGGGTGTTACCACGACTGCTACAACAGATGCGAGGGTTGGTGTCCCACGTCACATTGGGACGCCGGGAGCTCCTCGAGAAGGACCATCTCTCGAGTACGAGGCCGCGAAGCACGGTGACAGCCGTTACAGTTTCCGCCCTTATGTTTGGGGCCCCCGCACCTTCCCGAGGAAGAGAGCACTCCGACGTGCGATTGACAGAGCGACAAGGAGACCGGGTCAATACACGTGGTACCGAGGCCGGCATGTACACCTCCGAGACCTGTGTACAGGACAGCAGACTGGACCCAGGACTGGAGCACCAACGAGGGCGACGCGAGCCTCAGCCGCTCATTTCGGCGACAGGCCCCATCGTAGACTCAGAGTCGTCACTTGGAACTGTGGCGTCTTAAATGCCAACACCTATCGTGAGGTCATGGTCTGGATGCAAGATGAGGAGTCGCAAGGCCGTGCCGTGGACATCCTGTGTCTCCAGGAGACAGCTTGGCAGGGTGACAGTGAGTTTGTCACGGCTGACATTGGTCGGCCGGGTGCTCGTTGGTATGCCGTGCACACAGGGGCCAAAGACAAGTCGGGCGTGATGTGTTTGGTGAGGTCTAACCTCATCCCTCCTGATGGTCTTCGGCATCGGGTCGTACTGGCCGGACGCCTTCTCCACGTCCGTCTCATGTTGGGAACACCCCTGGACCTGTTGTGCATGTACCAGGTCGCCTGGAATCCGGGCAAGCAATTCCTCGATGCCTCGCAGGTGCCGCGCAGGAAGGCGACACATTGTGCCGACCTCTGGCGATCACCCCAGACGAGGTGTGGGAGGCGCTGGGAAAGATCTCACCTAGCAAAGCTATGCCAAGCTGGTCGGCCCCGGCTGCCGTCTGGAAGGTGCTACGATCACAACTTCTCCCCACCGTGGTGTCCCAGCTTAACCAGGTGCTGCAGACGGGCCCATTGATTCTCCCACCAGAGTGGTGCACCAGTGAACTGGTTCTGATTCCGAAGCCAGGCAAATCCCTCACCTCGGTGGGCCAGCTTCGTCCGATATGCCTTCTTCCACCAATGGCGAAGACCCTAGCGACAATTCTTGCCAACCGGATGCAACCCTACCTTCAATCATACCTCCAGGAGGTCGCGCAGTACGCCTACGTACCCGGCCGATCCCTGTCACAGGCCTTGGAGCGGGCGATCAGCCATTGTGTGGAAGTGCGCGCCCTGTTGGCCACACAGGGAACGTCCCTGTACGAACGACGAGGAGGAGGCACCCGCCTCCCTGTGGTTGGAGGCATCATGCTGTCACTGGACATTACGGGTGCATATGATGTGGTCAGGCGAGAAACTCTGCTACTGGCCCTACAGGCGGCTGCGGTTCCGGCGGAGCTCCGGGAAACCGTCATGGCGGTCCACAACCAGGCCAAAATAAGAATTTCCCATTGCGGACATGAGGATACCATCGCCCTTGGCACTGGTTTGCGCCAGGGCTGCGGGCTTTCGCCCGCCCTGTGGGCCCTTGTCTCGGGCTGGCTGCTCCGTGGACTAAATGTTGCCCCAGACGACATGCCGGCCGAGGTCAACACATCCTACGCGGACGACCTTCTCTTCAAGTGGATCATTCGCTCAGGGAAGGCCCTAGAGGTGGCTTACCGGCAAATCCGCACGGTTCTGGAACACCTGGCCGACCACGGACTACAGGTGAGTACGGCGAAGACGGTGACCCTTGTAGAACTACGCGGAACCAAGGCACACCATGCCCTCCGAAAATATGTTGTCTCAATTAAAGGAGTCCGGCATATGCGTTTTCAGGTCAGGGGCCGAGATGTGGACCTACGGCTGGTGGACCAGCACGTCTACCTAGGCGCGATCATCTCCTACCGCAAGCCGGAACAAGCGACGGTCCAGCATCGCATGACGCTCGCCAAAGGCCAATTTGCCCGCCTCAAACCGGTGCTGAAGTGCCAAGCGGTCCCCGGTCCCCCTGGGGCTGCGCATGAGGCTGTGGAAGGCCTGTATACCGGCATGCCTTTTACACGGACTTGACTGTGTTGGCCTCACCGAGGTGGCGGCCAAGGAGGTTACGTCTCTTATGGTGATGCAGGCTAGGTCAGTGGCGAGATCCCATAGCATGCACACGCACGAGACCAACTCCGACGTGTGGCCAGAACTTCAGCACCCAGGCAGCCCTCAAAAGGCACATGTTCCTGACTCATATGACCGAAGATGCACAACACGAGCGACGGGTGGAAGTTAAATCACAGGCTCAGACCTCGCATATGGAACATGCCAAGGATGGGCTACCATGGTGCAAGCACTGCCTGCGTCAGTTTAACAACTGGCCGAACTCCCACTATCATGTGAACTCTAGAAGTTGTGCGATCCTGAGATCCATCTATGAGGAGGGTCAGCCTGGAGTTGTATTATCTCATCTCTCCGAAGCCTTAGTAGCCAACGAGGAGATCCTCACCCTGGCGGCTCAGTGCAGTTGGACAGACTTGGCGGCGCACCAGCTGGTTAAATCCCACCTCTGCCACTGCCCAGAATGTTACCACTGGTCAGTTCGGCCGACGTACGTAAAACGCCACATGCTTGCCAAACACCCTGAACAACTTGCTACCATTGACCGTTGCGTTCAGTTTGTGAAGGCGAGCAACCTCGGGCTCAGCAGTCCCTGTCGGTTTTGTGGAGAAGCATTCCGTCGCAGAGATGCCCACTTGAGATCTTGCGCGGCATTGTTCCAGGGTGCTTATCTGTTTGCTAGGCTTGCTAGAGGCCCACCCCCTGTCTCCGCGCATCATGACGCCACCTCCATCGGATCAGGTGCCACCCATGGACCCTCTGCTGGCCGCCACACAGGAGCTCAAGCTCATGGAGACGCTGGTTCCCAAAGGAATCCTGGGCATGCCCTCCTGCCTGACAACGGGACGGGAGCCCCGGACACCGCGACGCGGACCAGAGCGAGGAGATGCTGATGGACCAGGGCAAAGGCCAGGATCGCCCGGCAAAGTGGCCGCGACAGGGCCAAAAAGGGCAGGCCGGAAACGGAAAAGGCCGAAGTCACCAAGGGCCACCACGCTCCGGGACCTACTGGAACAAGCCCCCACGAGGACAGAAGCAGCAGAGAGAGGCAGAGCCGAGTGGAGAGAAGCACCTCAGCCCGACCCTGCAGAAGGAGATCAAGCACCTCCGAGCTCGCATGGACATGATCACTGCTCTCCTCCTTCGGCACGACAATCAATTGGCCATATGCTGGTTGGACACTGCCTTCATGTTCTTCCTCCGCACGGACATGCAAGGAAGTCTAGCGGTGACCTTGTACCGGACAGGAGTTGCATGGAAGGAGCTGAAGGAGAAACACCCCCAACGGCTCGAGTCCCCCATGAGGGTCGTCCTGATGCAGGCCTTGCTGACCACGGTGGCCTCGCGCTTCGAGCAGCTCATGGCGACCGAGGCGTCACGGATGGAGGCGGCGAAGCTTGGCTGGCTCACGACGGACGCCACCAAGGTCAACGTGATGAAATGGAGTGCCAAGTCCAAGTGCCACGAGGTGGACCCCGATGGCGTGCCTCTCCCGACGGAGGAAGTGACCAAGGGCCTCATGGACCTGATTGTGTTGGCCAAGACCCCCCTGGTGATCAATCGCTTCCATGCCACGAGACCGCTGGCACAGGAATACGAGTCCCAGGTGCTACCGATGATGTTGGACGTGGGGCTGCGACTCAAGGAGGCCGACAGAATGTGGGAGATCCTTCGCTCAATGAGCCGATCGGCGATTTGGGTTGCGGCAGGCCTGTACATGAGACCGGACCGACTGCAGCGCGGAGCACTTGCTCAGCGCATAGCAGCCATGATGGGGCAAACGACTCCATAGATCGCCTACTGAGCCTGAGGCTGGGGAATCCGGGCAATCACTGCTACGGCATTGCGTTGTTCAGGGGGCTGGTGGCGGCGGCCATACAGCCGTCGGCATTGGCAACATGTTTCCGCCGTTGCTGAAATCGGTAGCCCTGAGCATGCTGGGAGCCAAGAAGACTTACTTTCTTTGGCGCAACTCCTTTTGGCGTACGCTTCTTCAGGGTTGGCGAAATCCTGACTCCCAGCATGACACGGCTGAGTTTCTGCAACATGTTGTGTCTAAGTGCCCAGTCATGTTGGACACAATTGGGGTACACTGGGCTACCAGACGACAGGTGGGGGATCAAACCCTCCAGCATGATTCAGGCTGTTCCACCCCGGTGTTGCTTAGAGCTCATGACTCGGAGAGGAGTGTTCAGGCCCTTGTGAACAGCTGGCATGCACACGAGGAGGATAGATCCGCAGCTTTGGCGTGTCCGCCTGTGATCATTTTTCAAGTCTTGAGATTCGGTGCTAATGCGAGGACTGGGGCCGTGCGCAAACTTAGGTTCAGGGTGCAGCCGGATTTGGTGTTGAGAGTGCCGTACTTCAGTGGTGAGGGTATCACAGTTCTCCATGAAGATTATGCGCTTAGCTCCGTCATCTTGCACTTAGGTGGGTCACCTAGTTGTGGCCACTATAAGACTCTCTTAGTAGTGGACACCGCGTTCCACGTTCTGGATGACGACAAGCCCTCTCGGACGTGCGGTACTTCCGAGTTGAATCGTTGTTGGTCAGATTCTTACCTTTTCATCTACATTCGGGGCAGTCGTTAATCCATGACCTCGCTTTTCTTGGGCATCCGTGCCGGAGGTCATGCTCCGGAAGGTGCAGGGGATGTGGCAAGACGCCACAGCGGGAAGCCGGGGGTGAAATCCTCTGTCCCCCATTTTCGCTCGCAGAGATCGGACCTTTGCAGCGCGTGAAGTGAAGTGAAGTATGTATGTATGTGTATATATATATGTGTATATATATATATATATCAGCAAGATGCCCCCAACAAAATCTCCCATCCGGTTTCGGATAGCTGAGTTTGCCCAGTGAAGGTCTACGACTTGAAGCGTTGCCAAGCTGCCGCAATGTTGATGGGCACACCGGCTATGAAGAGAGGGCACGGATATTGGGGGGTTTAGGCTTGGTTTGTGGTTTTGTTCTTGGCTTTCTAAGGCAGTGCTGGATGCTCGCAAACTCCAAAAGCCTTGATTCGCTCAACCTTTACACTTGCAAAACCCCCCCCCCTCCAAACGTCAACAGCCTTACCTTGCCTTCAAGGTCAACAGGTTTATGAGGAGAGCACTCATATGTGGCCGGCAGGCTGCTATACGCGACTCGGCACCAGAGGGGCTGGTCACCCAAGAGCCCAAGGTATTGCATAATTATTTGTAAGCACTACTGTAGGGGCCTCAATATTTACCTATACTATTCTGGGTTAATCATTATGATTATACTATGAAGGCCCCTATACTATAGACACTGTATGATTGCCTGAACGTTGACCGAGAGTTTTCCATTCAAGGCCTTGAGGCTTCCCCGGGAATACTTAGCGACACTCTCCCTTTTAGATCTTTTAGCTGCCCTGTACATACTCAGACAGTGAGATACCTCCCGGAACCTTTTGGAAATCGTTACGGCTGAGCTGGAAGTCTAAAGAGTTCAGGGTTCAGGGTATCCCGTAGGTTGCAGAAGGATCGAGAAAGAAAGTCACGTCAGGTCAGGTACACAGCAAGTTAGGCGCTCTGGTATCGCTAAACCTAAGCTCCTGTTCCCGATTCCCGGGTTCTTTGCAGCGACTCGGGTAGCATTCTGCAAAAAAGCGCTAACTTGATCTACGGCAAGAAGAAACACGTCTAGTTGGGTAGCTCCTTTGGCTAAGATGTTGGCCTTGCGTGGTTCGAGGGTTACCGGGCTTTCGTTCCAAACTTGGGCGTCTGACGGAGCGATGATCTCAGCACTAGGCAGAACCCTACGTAAAGCAGTCCGACAAAATCATGTCCGGGAAGGCCAGAACAAGAAACGAGAGAGGGAAGAACAGCACGGAAGCTTCACAGGTGGGGCTCATCAGATTTTCTGGGCTGGTATTTCAACTTCGATCAAAGCGGCGCGCAGCTCGAGCACCCTTCCATCCGCCTCCTCTGCGAAAAGGCGCCCCGTGGCCGGGGGGGAGGGGGGGGGAGCAAAAACCTCAAGGCCCAAGCGCCAAGCCTCAGGGCCCTTTTTGGGGGGTAAGAAGGAGCCCTAAAGTCCTAAAGCGATATCTTCTAGAACCTTATACCAAAATCCAATGGTCAAGCTTTTCTCCGGCCGGGAAAACCCTGCAAATACTACTTTAGAGGCCATGGCGTAGCTTCCGAGCCCTACCTCCACATCCCCGGAAACTGCGGCTCAGGCCTTTGGCGCCTAAGTGCTGTTGCGAAGAATAGTAGTGATAAGAATACTAATTACATAATACTAGATAAAAGGAATGGAGGTCATAATAATATCAAAAACAATGCGATTATTGATATGTACAGTAATTTGTAATACTAATACTATTCCTGAGCCTTCGCGTGATTCCAGTAGAAGTTAGTTTAGCCCAAACCCGGTTCTCATCATCAAGGCCCCTACCTGGACTAGCTGGTTTAAAAGCGATTTCTCCTTGGCCAGGGGTGCGACCTCCAGGAGTGGGAACCTTGCCGCTCGGATTGCCAGTGCAACGCGGTTGGCCTACACTCCAAACCCTTACCTCCTATAGGGTGAGTACAAAACCCGCAAGCTCTAAACGCTGTCGGGGATTCTGCATTTGGGATTATCTCTGACTTCACAGACGGCTGAATCCATCGAAAGTCTTCATCGGGAGTTTCGGCCTCTTGGGCTGAGGACTGGGGAGCTCCCTGAATTTCGTACCGCAGAGTCCGTTCGGCTTCGGGCCTCAAGTTAGGAAGCCCGCAAACCTTGGCTGAACTAGCTGCCGTTTTGAAAAGTGTTGATTTGAGGCTTGGGTTTGGATCGAGGAGTTGCGTTTACGTGACACATGACTATGCGACTGCACGAAGCACTGCATGGTCCGAGCTAAACGCGCACCCTGAACTCCGAATAGTCAAACAGCCCCCAACCCTGAACCCCAAACCCCTGCAACATTCCATGCCATATGATGGACGCAAACGCGACTT